TTGTGTGTGAGTCCGTGCGTAATTGTTTGAGTGTTAAGGTGTGTTTGTGTATTCGTGTTTGCTTGTGTGTGTATGTGTGTGTATATATGTGTGAGTGTGTGTGTTTGTGTGTGTGCGTGTGTGTGTGTGTGTGTGTGTGTGTGAGTGAGAGAGAGAGAGAGAGAGAGGGGGTGGAGGAGAGTATTATCCCGTGTGTAAGGGCATGTGTGTTTGTTTTTCATCCAAAATGTGTCGATTGGGGCGTAAACCGTTTAGGTTCATGTATAGCCATTACAAGCATTGCAACTGTGAATGGATCTGTAGAAGGAAGGAGAATTCTCCTTGTGGTTTTTTGTTTGTTTGTTTGTTTGTTTTGCTTTGGGTTTGTTTATTTTTGTTTCTTTGTTGTTGTTTTGTTTGTTGTTGGTTTTTTGTTTTTTTAGGGGGGGGGGTAGTTGTTGGTCTTTTCCTTCGGTATGTGAATATTATGTTTGTTTTGATGCTGTTTTCTTGTGCTGAAGATTGGTAGGTGGTGTACAAACTTTTGATGTTATTAACCGTTTAGAAATCTTATGCATAGCTAAAGAAAGATGTTATTTCTAAATGTTTATCTTATTTCCTGTAGAGCTGGGGGAACAATCTTTTCCGGAACCGATTCCCACAATTAATGCTATGGAAGAAAAGTTCCGACGCCTTGTTACGTAAACCAACGTTACCAGTTCATTCAATCATTAAAATGTTCTTTTTTTTTAGAAATTATTTTGGAAAAAAAAAAGGTGATCCTTCGTAGTGTAACGAGATCAAGGTTATCCTAAATCCTGACGATGTTCCCAACCAAAAAGGTAACCACCGGAAGAAATCACGTTATTAGAAAGTAAGTAATTGGGTTCGGAGTCAATTCTTCCGACTCAGAGCTTTCAATAACCAGGAACCTAGTCGCCCAACACTAATTTCTGAATGTTTCTCTCTTTTTCCAGCTGTTCCAGCCAAGAAAAACCCTGGTGACGGAGCCAGCTCAGTACATGTCTTCCACTCTCTCCTGGCTGTGGCAAACCTGCTGGTCTTCATCGCTGTTTTTGGATAGCACTGAAGGGATTTAAAATGTTCCATTTTTTTCGTGCTTCGACGGCTTAGAGCTCTCCATTTTTTGCCACGGTCGAAGCAAGAGGCAAACTAGTTTAGTACATGTAAATGATAGCGTTATCCTGTTGATCAAGGGCTGGCTTGTGTTAGCATTGAAGAACAAAGTCCTCGATGAAAGAAACTGAACACGTTTACAGTTTCTTAGTTGTTGTTGTTTTTTTTTTATCTTTTTGATTTGTTTTGTTTTGGTTGTTGTTTTTGGAGGCAGGAAAGTGG